TCGCAAGCTATTTGAATGTATGTAGAACTGGGAGAGAGGCCGGAAGGACACAGCTGGGGGATTTTGATAGCCTCCAAGTCTCCTTTTGGCTTGTATGGTATGAAGGTCGTTCATAAATTAGTATTTTTCCTCCCCAGTTACTGGCATATCGAGACTCCATTTCTTAAATAAAGGTTTTATTTTAGAGTAGTGTTGGAGTTACAGTAGAGCTACAATAGTAGAACAGAGTATCTAAGTGCCTGGACTTCCTTTACATCACTTCTCTTGTCATTTAACTTGGCTGTCACATTTTCCCAAGCTGAGGAACCTTGTCAGTAGAGTAGTCTGTTAACCGAGCTCTCCACTTTATTGGGGTTTTCTTACTAGCTCTTCCCTATCACACTTTTGATATTCCCAGGTCTGGTCCAATATAATGATTGCTTTCAGCTGGCCTAACTCCTTAGGTGCTTCTGGGCTGGGCTGTTTCTCGGGCTTTCATTGTTGTTGGTGACCTTGACAGGTTTAGAGGAGTATCCGGCAGGTCTTTCTTTCCGTAGAAAGTTCACTCTTCTGGTGGTTTTCTCACCTTCGCTGTAGGTAAGAACTTGGGAGTCACTCAGCCTGTCAGAGTCAGAGCAGGGTGCTCGCTGGTCTGCCTTCCTTCTAATGCCTGGCTTGGCCATCTTTGCCATGTCTCTCTATACTCCCAAAGAATGAATGTTCAAGTGCTGCAGAACACTTGGTGGTGGTGGGGGAGGGGGGGTGTCAGCAGTTAAATTCCCAACTCCTTGGAGAGTTTCTACACCTTTTTTCGATTTGTTTTTATTTTTATTTTTTATAATTGTCACAGCCAGCAATTACTCAAGAGTTACTCCTGACTCTGTACTCAGGAACTACTCCTTTTTGATGTACTAAATTAACACCTTTTGGATACACTCAATTATCACCAGTCCTCTCTGCCGAAATGCGCATCTTGCTTCACTGAACTCTGGCCTCTTTCTTTGCTGGGGGTTGATAGATGATGAGTTCCTATGTGCAGAAGGTTTTTCAAAGTGCTCAGGATTTCAAGGCTTCATTTCCGACCCCTGTCTGTGATTGATATTTCTTGTATTGGAGGTGGGTCCTTGCCTAGGGCTGAAACCCTGGGACTGGAGTGAATGACAGAGAAGCACCAGTTATCAGGTCATGTAGGAGAATGCCAGTCTCCGAAATTATAGGTTTTCTGGGTGACGAAAGGTGTTGTTGTTTTCAGTCTCCTAGTTTGGGATATTCTGATCATTTTCTAATCTAATCCCCCTGAAATACATAATTTAACATTTTCTTAATGATTCTGCCTGAAAGCTGTTGTCTCAGTTTATAAATTATGTACAGTTGGCTGCTGCTTCAACAGAGCCCTGGACGCTAAAGCTCTTTGAGTTTTGATCTACTTATTCTGTTTGGAATCTTTTCTCCTTTAGCCTTGGTTTCTTACTGATAATGGTTTGCCTGCCTTGAGGCCGTTTTTCTGATTAGTTAATAGCATTCTGTCAATTTAGAATTCAGCCAACCAAACTGATTAGGAATATCCATTGACGTAGTTCCATAGTCTTTGGTAAAATATGAGAGTTGAAATGAAAAGCAAGTGTAAGCTGTAGCACACTGGTCCTCTAACAAACCTCAGTTTACTTTACTTCCTTCAGTCTGTTTTTCATTGTGGTAAGAGGTTGGCTGTGTTGCTTTACTATTACTTGTAACAGCCAGTTCCAAGCAAACTGCCTTTGCAGTGTGTCCTAAACCACCCCTAGATACCTGGGAACCCGAAGTTTGTTATTATTATTATTATTATTTTTTCTTCTTATAACTATTTATTGAACCACTGTGGGAAAAGTTACAAAGCTTTCAGGTTTAAGTCTCGGTCATACATTGATCAAACACCTTTCCCTTCACGGGTACTCATTTTTCACCACCAAGAACCCCAACATACCGCCCCCCATGCCTGTGAGGCAGATGATTTCTTTAACTCTTCTCTACATTGATTACATTCATTATTTTGACAAAAGATGCACCATTATTGTTTAAAATTCCCTCCCCCAACAATTAGAAATGCTGAAAAGGCACTGTGAAATATTTTGTTTTCTATAGCTGGTTACGAGAATCATATAATGTTGCGCTGCCACTATCGCGGCTGCGTGATTTGGGATTTCTGCCAAGAGCCAGATAATTATGAGATTGTTTTCTGTGTGTCTGGTGTTATGGCTGTGCTGGAGAGCCACTCATGGGGGGGCAACTCGTGACCAAGATAGGGCGTGAAGGATGAGCTGGTACCGCCCCCCTTCCCATGAGACTGCAGTAGCCTCATCAGTGCAGGCTCATACCTGGCTTTCCAATAAGCTCTGAGGCAGTGGCCACCTTGCAGCGGGGGTGGGGTGGGGGGTGGGGGGGAGCAACACCCTTTCCCTCCCGGGAGGCATGGCACCATAGTTTAAGGCTTGGTCCATTCACTTTTCTGCCCAAGCTGCTGGGCTCTGGACAAAGTCCTTTTGCCTCTGGACCCATGGCCGTGCCGGAGAGCCGCTAGTTGTGGGGCAACTCGTGACCTCGGTAGGGCGTGAAGGACGATTATTATTAATTTTTTATTTTAATGAATCATTGTGAGATACATTTACAGACTTTCATTTACAGACTTTCATTATTGCGTTTCAGTCAAACAATGTTCAAGTACCCATCCCTCCACCAGTGCCCATTCTCCTCCCCCAATTTTCCCAGTATCCCTCCCTCACCCCCACCCCTACCCACCTTCTGCCTCTGTTGCAGGCACAATCCCTCTTATTCTCTCTGCCCTTATGGGTGTTATGGTTTGCAGTACAGGAAACAAGCAGCCATCATGTTTGGTCCATATGTTGTATTATTTTTAGTAACTTTTTTTGTCTTTTTGGGGGGGGGCTGGAGCGATAGCACAGATGATAGGGCGTTTTCTTTGCAAGTGGCCAACATGGCCGACCCGAGTTCAATTCCTCCTCCCCTCTTGGAGAGACCGGCAAGCTACCGAGAGTATCTCGCCCACACTGTAAAGCCTGGCAAGCTACCTGTGACATATTCAGTATGCCAAACACAGTAACAATTGTCATAATGGAGATGTTACTGGGCCCGCTCGAGCAAATCGATGAACAACGGTAGGACAGTGACAGTCTTGTTTTTATCTCTTGTCTTTTATTATTATTATTATTCTTTTTTATTAGTGAGACATCATGAGGTACTGTTGTAGACTTACAAATTTTTGTGCTTGGGTTTCAAGTATACAATGATCAAATATCCATCCCTCCACCAGTGCCCATTTCCCACCACCTTTCGTTGCTCTTATCATGATGATTTGGGGGTGAGGGTGGGGGTAGGGTAGGGGGATTGGTTGTGATGCTCATGCTTTCGGTGCTAACTAGGAGTCCCATGTTTGGTTGCAGAGATCCCATACCCAGCCTCAGTGCTGCCTGGGTGCCTTCACTTATAGTCATGGTGCTTGCCCAGGAAACAGCTGGCAGGACTATGCTTAGCTCATGTGGGGATTGAATGCTTTTAGCAAGCCGGTTCCTGGGCCCTACACTTGAAATGTTACGGAAGAAAGATACTGCTTTGTGACCAACATTTAATGTCTACTGAGAATTTGGAAAATTTTGTTATAAAGAGGAATTTTTTTTTTGAAAACTGTCTCAAGTTTTTATATATACATCATACCCATGCATTTGAGAACAGCCAAGATGAAGCAGTAACGCTCGGCATTACTTGTTTAATAGGGGCTGGAGAGTTGGGTCAAAGAAATGGAGCATATAATGGAGCATATCTTTGTATGATTAAGTTCCATCTCACGGAACAGTACCTCTCCTCCTACACTGTCGGGTGTCTCCCCCTTAGGCCTGGGCCCACAGGTCCTGAACAGCACTGCCAGACCTGTATTACTGGACCAGTCATCCTTAGGAGTGTCCCTGGGGTCCCTGTTTTAAGTAGTAATATGAAGTATTGAAAGCCATGAATTACCTGTTCTTTTAGCTGGCTATAATATTTTTGTCATATGAATTTATTAAATTGTTTCTATATTATTGAGTCCTTTTTTTTTATTAGTGAAACACCATGAGGTACAGTTATAGACCTATAAAATTTTGTGCTTGGGTTTCAGTTATACAATGATCAAGTACCCATCCCTTCACCAGTGCTCATCCTCCACCACCACGGGTCCTAGCATCCTTCCCACCCCCCATCCCCCCTGTCCCACCCTGCCTCTGTGGCAGGGCATTCCCCCTTGTTCTCTCTCTCTTCTTTTGGGTACTGTGTTTTGCAAGAGAGGCATTGAGTAGCAATCGTGTTTGGTCTATAGACTACTTTTAGCATGCTTCTCCCACCCTGGGAGGGTCTCACAACACCCTTTATTTGGTGCTCTCTTCTCTATCTGAGCTTCCTTTTCACCTAGCACATGTGGCCGGCCTTCAAGTCATGAAGCAAAATTCCTGGTACTAATCTCAGCCACTCCTGGGTGTTATTCTTCCATTTTGTTGCTTTATGTTCCCCAGATGAATGCAATCTTTCTGTGTCTATCCCGCTCTTTCTGACTCATTTCGCTTAACATGGTACTTTCCATGTAGTACCACTTGTATGTAAATTTCATAACTTCATCTTTTCTAACAGCTACATAGTACTCCATTGTGTAAATGTACCAAAGTTTCTTTAACCAGTCACCTGTTCTCGGGCACTCAGGATTTTTCCAGATTCTGGCTATTGTAAAGAGTGCTGCAATGAACAAACAATTGCAGATGTCACTTCGACTATACATTATTGAGTCCTTTTATTTTCTAATTTTTACTCTAGAAGCAATTCAGTGAATAGCATTCTATATATTTTTTTATCATTCACATCATTTATTTTGATTATTAGTTCTAGAAATTGACTTGCTGTACCGAACAGTAGGAATGTTTTTCATCCTTTATTGACCTCCACTGAAAATCAGTATCACTGTATAACGAGTTCTAAGTCATTCTTTTTCCTTCTTTCCTCAGCTTACTACCCTGGGAAATCTTACACCTTCCAGCACTGTATTTTTTTGCTGTGACATGCAGGAAAGGTTTCGACCAGCCATCAAGTATTTTGGAGATATTATTAGTGTTGGACAAAGATTGGTATGCTTATCTTATATTTTTTTCATATTTCCAAAGTATGATACACTCATATATGCAATTGTGTGTCTAGCTCACTGTTCTCATGTCTGTTTACTTTTTCAGTTACAAGGTGCCCGGATTTTAGGAATTCCAGTTATAGTCACAGAACAGTACCCTAAAGGCCTGGGAAGCACTGTTCAAGAAATCGATTTAACAGGTGTAAAGTTAGTACTTCCCAAGACGAAGTTTTCCATGGTGTTGCCAGAAGTAGAAGCGGCATTAGCAGAAATTCCTGGAGTTCGGAGTGTTGTGTTATTTGGAGTAGAAGTAAGTACTTGTTATTAGGTTTCAGCACAATATTATTTGTAGAAAAATTGGTATTTCCAGAGGCAGAGTTTTGTCTTGTTTATTAAAAACCTGGTAGGAGTTAATGATGAAGAATACCTTCTACCATTGATTCAGTGATAACTGAATTCATGACATGGAGCTAAACACTTTGCATCTGTTAACTCATTAAACTCTCACATCGACCCAATGAACTTACTGTGTGCATATTATAGATGAGAAAACTAAATCACAGAGATGCCAACAGCTTATCCAAGGTTAAACAGCTAAAAAAGGATGTAGTTAGGTTTGAATATAGGTGATTGATTCTTGAGCCAATTCTTTTTTTTTCAAATTTTAGTGAATCACCATGAAATACAGTTATAGACTGACAAATTTTCGTGTTTACGTTTCAGTCATACAATGATCGAGTACCCATCCCATTACCAGTGCCCTTTCTCCACCACCAATGTTCCCAGTGTCCCTCTTGCCACCCCCACCTCTTCGTGTTTACATTTCAGTCATACAATGATCAAGTACCCATCCCACCACCAGTGCCCTTTCTCCACCACCAATGTTCCCAGTGTCCTTCCCGCACCCCCACTTCTTCCCTCCCCCTGCCTCTGTGGCAGACACATTCCCTCTTTCTCTCTCCTTTTGGGTGCTGTGGTTTGCAGTATAGGCACTAAGCAGCCATCATGTTTGGTCCATAGTCTACTTTCAGTATACATCTACCATCCTGAGCAATCCCTCCAACCATCATTTACTTAGTGGTCTCTTCTCCCTCCCTCCTGCCTTTTCCCACAGCACATGAGATTGGCTTCCAAGCCATGGGGCTATCCTCCTGTTGAGCCTATTCTTTTAATCACTCCATTTTCACCAAAGACATTATTTTTATTTATGTATTTTTAAATATCACCTTGGTCCTATTTTTGGACTAGAAAAACCTTAAAGTCATGTGGCTCATTGTCCTTCACATTTGAATCCTGTGTATACTACTTTAAAGAAAAAAATACTCTTGGATACCTAATACTAAGTTAAATTGATCTTTAAAAAATTGGATAAGGTTTTTTGGGGGATATGTTACACTATTAAATAACTAGTAAATGAAAGTAAAAATTAGTAAAATGTCAAATGAATTTTAAATAATGTAACTTAAGATGTTTTGTTTTTATGGTTATAGTAAATAGTAAAAGATATCACAGCCCGGCCGAGCCGGATTCGATTCCTCTGTCCCTCTCAGAGAGCCCGGCAAGCTACTGAGAATATCTTGCCCGCACGGCAAAGCCTGGCAAGCTCCCCGTGACGTATGCAATATGCCAAACACAGTAACAACAAGTCTCAAAATGGAGACATTACTGAGCCTGCTTGAGAAAATCGATGAACAACGGAAGGACAGTGACAGTGACATCACCTCATTAGCTGCATATAAAATATTTCTGTATTTTCTTTTCTGTAATACTGCATAGAGAAAACCTGTTGGTATAAATGTCAGACTAAATGCTGACTTTTGTGCCTTGTTGCTTGTTCATCATCATTAGCCCTCATGCCTAATCAGAATCATCTTTGAGCAGTCTTCCGGTGCTTGTTTCAATGAGATGACAGCTGATAATTCTTCAAAACCCTTGCATCCTATGGGGATGCTGTTGACATAGTGGCGGTATTGAAGTCTGCTTCCACTGGATGAACAATATAGTTTTGCGGAATCTCATTTTTATTCTTTTCTCTGGTGGTATGTTGTCATAAGGTAGTTCTTACAGTGATGGAAGCTATATAATCCACTTGCAGCCGATGCACACTGAGTATTTGTGCCCGAGTCACAATTATTTGGTACATAGCTTACCTGTGCTATAAATGGTCATGAGACTACTTGTCCCAGTATTTTCTCAGCTTATAGCAATGTGGCCTCATCTTTTATGTCAGACCCTAGACATGAATTCAAAACTAAGCCCAGCTGCATTGGCCTCAAAGCTGGATGGTAGTAATCCTTGTTATAAAGATCATCCAGGATGACATAGATGAAAATCTTTAATTTTCTTGAGAGCCCTAAGAATATGCTCAAGGCTTCTAGTATGAGGAACAAGATCCAAGTTCCTGATTTCACAGAAGAAAACAAAGCCAAAATTGCTGTTCCGTGTCAGGGTGTCAAGATCATCTCACTGGAGGCCAAACTGGATGGAGGATAGAGTATTATTAAACCTGGTGTGCTTTTTCTGCTTGATCCTATGGTACACATTTATAAACTTTTTTCCCATGTTATTACATTATGTCTTTGCAATTTCCTACTAGACTCATGTGTGTATCCAGCAAACAGCTCTGGAGCTCGTTGGCCGGGGTATTGAGGTTCACATTGTTGCTGATGCCACCTCTTCGAGAAGCATGATGGATCGGATGTTTGCTCTTGAGGTAAATGTCCTGCTTTAAAGTAACTCCGTTTTCAAGTTTTCTCAGTACGTTTGAAGAATGCAGTATTGACCCAGAATGAAAGATTTGCCTCTTTCACTTGAATTTAATCTGAGGATATTGTTGATTTCCAGTCTTGAAGATGCTCAGTGTCCTGGGAGGTATTTCCACCAATTCCTCTGTAATGTCTCAAGTCATCATAGATTTATAGTAGTGCCAAAAGTTTCTCTCACATTTTCTCTGACCATATTGGTGTTTGCTATAGTTTCACAGATGAATTAAGTGGTAGTCTTAAAGAAGAGAGAGCCATAGCTTTCGTAGTCTAGAGCCTCATTGAACCATTCAAAGATTTGCAACTTAAAAAACAACTTACTTGGGCTTAGCTAGCTTAGATTTAACCAAAACTGAGGACATGGTGGGCCTAAGCCCAGTTCCACCTTGTATTAGGTTTCCTCAGACTTGAATTTCTGGGGATAGAGCAATGTCCTGACCAGACATATTCGTATACAGGGTTACTTGGTGTTTTGCATGAGAGAGTCAGAATGGAGCTGAGGGCCTGATGCTCAATCAGTCTTTGTTATCTTTGTGGGAAACTGTATGTGGTGCCAGGGATCTAATAGGTTGACAGTGTCAAGGCAAGTACCTTTGCCCCTGTACTATCTTTCCCTCCACCCCAAATGATTCTTTCTTCTGTTGCATTGCAGTGGCCTTAGCATATCTATTCCCTGACCATTTTAAAAAGGACTACCATGGGACTGCTGTGCAGTTCTGTGAACATTGACTCCATCCTGTGGATCTCTCTTCTTTGTTCACTCTGTCTCTGTCTCTCTTGTCTTTTCTCATATTTAATTCCAACTTTAATAATCTTAGAATAATGTATGTTGATCCAGTTGCCAAGTTCAATGGATCTTACTTATAATAGGAAGCAGAACTATTTTTGAGACCTTCAGATGGCACATGTATATGCGAGTCTTTTATGACACAAATTATACTCTGACCATATTCTTTCCTTTCCTTCACAGAATTTCTCACACCAGGCCTTCGGGGCTGGAGTCTTGGGAACTATCTGCGTGTGTGTGCATGTGTGTGTGTGTGTGTGTGTGTGTGTGTGTGTGTGTGTGTGTGTTTGGTGTTAGGGCTGTAACTGTTCAGGGACCACTCTTGGCTGGGTGCTTGGGGACCATGTGGTGCAGGGCCTCTTGCATTCAGTGCATGCCCTGCAGTTCACTGGGCTATCTCCCCAGCCCGCAAGTGCTTGTGTAAGTCTGGTAAGACTAATCACATGAAGGGAACAACATGAACAACAACAAACCAAGTAAGAATAATGAAAATAAAAGAGTAACAGCAAAACGTCAGTATGATCGCAGCGGGAACTCAGAGCCGCATGCACATACTGCCAGTGGGTACCCTTCCTGGCTCCCTCCCTCCCTCCCTCCCTCCCTTCCTCGGTTCCTTCTCTTCCTTCCCACACCTAGCAGTGCTCAGCATCACCTTGGATTGACATGTCATTGCTGGAAAGGGGAAAAGAATCCTGTCGGATATTGATGGAAACCTGCCCCCCACTTCAGATTTATCCTTTTTTTTTTTTTTTTTTTTTTTTGGTCGGGAGCGGTTTTCTTTGTTCCTAAATTATTGGGAGAAATAAGACATTTTCCCATTTTTCTGTGACTCTTCAAGTGAAAATCACAGTCTCATCAGCTCACCTCCTCTCAGTTCCCTGAGAACAACACTAAAGAGAATTCCCGAAATGGTGTACAATGCCTGTTAATATCGTTGTGGTAAAAGATTTATTGTGCCTCTAGAGAGGCTTCCACCGTGCCAGAGTCTATGGTGTGTGCTTCACTCAGCAAGGTTGTTGAGCACGTCCCATCCTTCAGGAATTAATGCTTTCCCTGAGTAACTGTAGAATAAATGTGCAGCTCTGGGGAATGCAGCTCTCTCTTAAACCCGGTGTCCTCATGTGCTAGGAGAGTTTTCAGTGTTACTTGGCAATTTGAAGAGTCCTATATCCCTCCCACCTCTCAGGCAGTTCTTGCATTTTCCAATTGCAGGGTCAGAGGAGCTGGCCCTTTCCTTTGCTCTAATTGGATGCATTGCACAAGCGGAGGGGGAGAACTTGGAAAGACATTGAAGCCCTGGCCCTGTGTCCACCAAGGGTTTGCATCACCACTTCCTTTTCTGGGAGGAAGCCACACCGGGAGGTGCTCAGGGACTGCTACTAGCTTGGTGCTTGGGGTTCCCTGCACTGCTGGGGCATTAGACTGGGCCATCAACATGGGCACAGTCCTCTGAGCCCTTTTGGCTGGGGCTATGCACAGCCTGCGAGCCTCACCTCCCCGTCACTGAGTCGGACAGAATTAGTCCGACTGATTCTGAGTCTGATTGGTGTCCCGAGTCGTTCAGTGCCCCTCTTTAGCTCCCCCAGCTCCCGTGTTAGTCTGAAAGCTAAGTCCTACTCTGCAGGTTTTGGTTTGCTCCGAAAGGCTTTTGGACCTCTGGTCTGCTCACTTCCCCAGGTCATCAGCCACTGCGGGCACTGGCGGAGCAGCCTGGGCACGCTGTCAGCAGAGCAGTTGGGAGAGCTACATCTTTTTTCTGGGCTTCCTCAGTCCTGGGACTAGGGTTTCCTGTTTCTCTAGGTGACAAGAAGAGTCATGAGAACCGAGCCTGGTTGGCTCACTGGGCCCTGGAAATCACTGGGGGCTCAGCTCAGATCCCTCGAGGACTCACGGAGGCGCAGAGAAGCCAATGCCGGGCCACTGAGCTTGGCTCCTGTGCCCGGCCCTCCCGGCCCTGGAGCCGGCACATAGCCTTCTGAGATTTCTGCAGAGCTTGAAATGATGGTCAGAAATTGACTGAGTGAGAGGAGGAGGCATCTCGGTTCTTGAAATCTTGAAAATACTCAGAAATGATGTCCTGATCTGCCTTCCCTCCCCGTATTTGTTGTTGCTTGAAGGACTGACTCCAGCTGTGGGCTCGGCTTTCCCCCTCCTCTAAGAGTCCTGAGCCCTGCATCCTCTATTCTGATGTCGTGGGCCAGACTGATTTTCTGTGGAGCGGACCGTGCTATATCCTCGCCCCCTCCCAGGTCCTTGGGCGGGAAGAGTGTGCCAGGGGCAGGTATGCCTGCGGAGCGGCACCCCTTCTTTCAGCCCGATTTTCCTCTCACCACACAGGGCTGCACTGACTTACTGGAGCGATTCCTTCTCAGTGACCCCAAGCAGGGCCTCATCGGGCTCTTTTCTTCTGACTTACTTAGGGATTGTTTTGTTTTCTCCCCACCTTATCTTCTGTGCTTCTTGTAAATGGTGCTTCTTGGGAGAACAGTTAACCAAGTTTTCTCCCTCAGGATTCTGTTTCAAATTCCACCAGAAATTCTCTTCTCTAGAATTCTCCTCTCAATCCTCTCCTCCTTTCCTTTTCTCCCTTCACTTTTTTTCTTTACTTTCCTCCTCCCATTCCATGCCTCTCTCCCTCCATGAGAATTCTGTTTTTTTTTCTTTAGTCTGTTCCACTGGCATGGTTTGGCACAGACATTGCTTGAATTGTCAGTGGATCTTTTTACAAGCTTAAATTTTATACCCTGGTTTAGTGATAAACATTTACGATGGCTTCTTTCTTATCCACAGACACATTCTTAAACTTTACAGCCGACTTTTCTGCTACCACCAATCATTTCTAAACAAGGACCCTCTTTGGTTTTTTAAATTTTTTTTGTAATTGAATCACTGTGAGATACAGTTACAAAGCTTTCATGTTTGAGTTTCAGTCATACAGTGATTGAACACCCATCCCTTCATCAGTGCACATTCTCTACCACCAATGTCCCCAGTATACCCCCTCCCTTTCCACCCTCTCCCTCCCTCTGTGGCAGGCAATTTCCCCCATACTCTCTACTTCTGGGCATTATGGTTTGCAATATATTTACTGACAGGCTATCACATTTGGTCTTCTGTCTACTTTCAGCACACGTCTCCCATACCAAACGATTCCTCCAACCATCACTGACTTAGTGATCCTTCTCTATTCAAGCTGCCTTCTCCCCTACCTCATGAGACAGGATTCCAACTATGGGGCAATATTCCTGGCCCTTGTGTCTACTGTCCTTGGGTGTCAGTCTCATACTATGTTATTTTATATTCCACAAACGAGTGCATCCTTCTATGTCTGTCCGTCTCCTTCTGACTCATTTCACTTAGCATGATACGCCCTGTCCATTCACCTATAAGCAAATTTCATGACTTCATCTTTCCTAACAGCTGCATGGTATTCCATTGTGTAAATGTACCAAAGTTTCTTTAACTAGTCATCTGTTCTCGGGCACTCGGGTTGTTTCCAGATTCTGGCTATTGTGAACAGTGCTGCAGTGAACATACAGGTGCAGATGTCATTTCTACTGTGCTTTTTTTGCACCCTCGGGATATATTCCCAGAATTGGTATTGATGGCTCATATGGAAGTTCAATTTCTAGTTTTTGAAAGAATGCCCATATTGTTTTCCAAAAAGTCTGGACCAGTCAGTATTCCCAGCAACAGTGAAAGAGCATCCAACAAGGGCCCTCTTAGGGAAACGACTCATATACTACATGTTGGCAGTTGTTTTGTTTTGTTTTGTTTTTGCTTTTTGGGGTAACACCCGGCAATGCTCAGGGGTTACTCCTGTCTCTGCACACAGTAATCACTCCTGACGGTGCTTGGGGGACCATACGGGATGCTGGGAATCAAGCCCCAGTCAGCCGCATGCAAGGCAAATGCCCTACCCACTGTGCTATAGCTCCAGCCCCCATGTCGGCAGTTTTAAAGGAGAAAAAAGAAATTAAGGAATCATTATTTTAATTCTTACAATGATCTCAAAGCAATTAAACTTTTTAATTTTTAAAAATTAGATGACATATTTCTAATGAATAGAAATATGGTGGGCAGCTACAATCATACCTATAATACAACTAATGAGGTATTGCCCCTCCTTTATAAAAAAAAAATAGGTACTAAATGCCTGATCTACATACCCGATACTCACTCACACACCACAGCCTCATGCTGTATCATTACCTCAGTTCACCTGTAGAAGTAGAGATATCGATGAACCCTCCCTCCCTCCCTCCCTCCCTCCCTCCCTCCCTCCCTTCCTTCCTTCCTTCCTTCCTTCCTTCCTTCCTTCCTTCCTTCCTTCCTTCCTTCCTTCCTTCCTTCCCGCACCTAGCAGTGCTCAGGAGCTATTTCTGGCTTTGTGCTTTGGGGACCATCCTGAATCCCATCCATATAATGTTGCTGGGGATCAACCATGATCAGCTGCATGCAAGGCAATCATATTACCTCCTGTACTGTCTCCCTGGCCCAAAGTCACCTTTATTTCAGCAAAAAGAGCTGAATATAAATGAGAATTTAAAATACACTGTAGTTAAAGCCACCCTTAGCTGAGTAGATGAAGGTGTGAAAGGTGCGGTGCAAACATTCTCAAAGCAGGTTGTGTTTGGGAAACGAAGTGGTTGAGTGTCCAAGCAAGTGATAAGTGCTGGTGAGACGTGGATTCATTTCCTTTCACTTATGGTTTATAGCCAGGATCCAGATCTCCCTTCTGTCCCTGTCATACATAAGACTCATTTAATAGTGCCTTTCTGCTGGCTTTGACTTGGTTTCTCATCCATTTGGCTGATGTTGAGAAGAATCCTAAGAGATCTGAGACCTGTGCAAGATCATTCTCTGTCTGACTTCTTGATGTGGAGTTTGTTGTGTCTTTTTTTCTTTTTCTCAAAGCGTCTTGCTCGAACTGGGATCATCGTAACAACAAGCGAGGCTGTTCTGCTGCAGCTGGTGGCCGATAAAGATCATCCGAAGTTCAAGGAAATCCAGAACCTCATTAAGGCGAGCGCGCCAGAGTCAGGCCTGCTGTCTAAAGTATAGACCTGGTGAGGGACTGGTCCTCTGCTTGCCCCTCGGGCACGGGACTGGGAGCCCAGAAAAGCTCTCATCTGGACCAGAATTAAAAAATTAAGTTACAAACTAACTCCTTTTTTTGCACCTCTTAATAAACTGTAACCAATTAGGTCATTTGGGTACCAGCGTTTAGTGACCATGTCCAGGGCTTCTGGTGCTGCCTCCCCACTTCATCTGTCACTGCTTTTATTTGTTGGAACAACATAGAGATAACAGAGGTGCCCCTTTTTTTTGTACTGTCCTCACTGATGAGCACTTGCAGAGGTGCACACTCTTAAGTTTCATTGAGCTGTGCACTTTAGAGAGAGAGACAGAAGGTACTGGTTACTGTACAGTGTATCTTGAGGTTTTAGTGTGGTTTCAGTGCTTTTGCTCTCTCCGGGTTGAGTGAAAACGGATTTTGTCTGAGAATCTGAAAACAGGACTGTGGATGGTGTCGCCTGCCTGAACCCCTACAGTCAGTTTGCAGACTAAATTGCACTGCTCTAACCGGACAAAATTATGGCAAGTATTTACTTATCTCCCTTTTATTAGGCTAATTTCCTTATCTGGTCACTACTACTAATTCTCTGCTAATGTTTATTTTTAGCTGAATTTTTTTTATTATTGTTATTTCAAAGACTCACTGGTTCATTGCGAATTTTGGTTTTGTAAACAGATGGAGTGATTTTCGAGGCGGAAGGCTGTTTTAAAATAAGTGAAGGATTTTACTTAAAAATCAGTACAGCCATCTTGAATAAGCTTTCTGGTCTGTACAAGATTAGCAAAAAAGTTAAAGACTGGATAAAATGTAGTTTTTAAAATGTCTGTATTCTTGTTTGGTATTTTTTTCCATCTACTCAGTAAATGTTATTGTTAATGGAGAAGGCATCAGTAATAGTTTGGGATATTAATTTTGTAGTCATTACTATCCTTCAATAAATTTATTTTCATTACATACTTATTAGAGGATTTTCAAGCCTTTTTTAATTTTGTGAAATATGGAACATTGCTGTCTTTTACATTAAAATAATTAAAACATTTTATGTGCATTAAGTTTTTTCCCCTGCATGCATTCCAAAATGTCTCTATGAGTAATATTCCAGGAGTATTCTAGGAATACGTATCCTAGCATATATTTAAAGGTATGACTTTTATATTTATGAGTTTATATTTATGATTTATATTTTTATATTTATGGTTTCAAAATCCCCAAGGGACTATGAAAACGCTTTGTGGATTTTCAAAGAATGAAAATTCTTTGCAGGTGGGAATAAATCAATTTTACTGAAAGACCTTCTTGATTACTTAAGTAGAAAAATTTCTTTCATCAGTGGTAACATTAATTTTGTAGGTATATTAAAATCTCTTCTGCAACATACTTGTACATGAAAAAATCAAAGAATTTTTTAGATTTTAAAAGTTTTTAATAAAAAGAACCTAGTGCTATTCATACTCTAGTGCAAATGTAGACGTTTCAGGGAACTCCTCTACTCCAGTTCACTGGGTCTGGATGGGTCTGACATTTTGCATTTCCAGAGAAAAAGCCAGTTTTCAGCATGCTGCTCAGAAGGGAGGGACTGGAGGTTTTGAGGAGCCTGAAGAACCAGGGTTTAAGATCACCTCCTGGTCCCTAGCATCATGTCCAAACCCTTTCTGTCTCATGAAGAGGAGCCCAGTGATGCCTTTCACAGCTGAAACTAATTCTTTAGCTCAAAATTAGTTTCCAGCATCGAGCTATCAAATTACCCCCAAACTTTGTGGCTCAAAACAACCTAAATTGATCTTTAACACTTTGGTCATTGAGACTGCTGAAATGGGTCTCTCTGGGTTAAAACCAAGACTAACTCAGGACTGTGTAGTTTTCTAGTTCCACAATTTTGTTTCTTTGCTTCCGTGAACTTCTAGAATTCATCCACATTTATTAATATGGGATATCATATCTCCATCTTTAAAATCAGCCAAGGCTGGACCAGCCCTGTACCTGCCCCATCTGCCTGATACGCTTTCTGCCCCCTCTTCATCTCTGTCTTCAGAGCCTCGTAGATGCGAGGAACCCATTCAATCACCCTGTTCTAAGATCCTGTGTGAAGCAGCCTCAGTTCTCTCATTCCATGTGATATTATAAACACAGATTCTTTTAGGACCTGGGCATTTTTGGAGGACCACACTGTATAACGTGTACTATTTCAGCTCTAAAATTCTGGAATGGTTTTATTTACTTTTTGTAAAGTTGTCTGGTTGGTTAAAGGCACAGAAGGGTGAGAACCAGATTACTAAAACATTGTGCTTTCTTCATTAATTGATAAAGCTAAAGACTTTGAGAAGGAAAGAGGGGAAAACATTCAAAAGGATACGTTTTACAATACATAAAAGTGCATTATTTATATTATCAAAGCTGCCAGACTATTTCTAGTGCTGAGAACCTTCCATTATACCATGGTCCTTCATTTATTTTCTTTCTTGACTTTTTTTTTTGAAACATTTTCCAACTCATTTTAGCTAATGACCAATAATGTTAAAATTGCAATTTTTACTACTAGCTATAAATCAATATGCCCACATCATGAATGCTTGCTTTATGCTCCAGGGACTTTATTGTCACCATCAATTTAATACACTAACTTAAAAGATTTTTTTAAAAAAAAATCACAGTGAGATATATCAGTAGGATGAGCTCTTTAGATAGTTATGATATAGTTATGATAGTTATGATATAGTTATGATAGTTATGGCTTTTTAGGACACTTGTTTCTCTGCTGCTTTGATTTATCCTGTAAACCTGAATGCCAGGCCATTTTACTGCAAGCCTTGAAAGGTCGTACAGCATTCACTTGACTTCTTGTAGAGATAGAAATAAAGTCCTGATTTTTCACCTGCCATGTGCCCCTTTGCCTGGCTCCCACACTGGCTTGCCTTTCAGGGAGCAAAGACCCAGCTGGGAAGGGTTTGCTGTGCTCACTCACTTCTCACTCAGACTAGCTCTTCTGAAGGCCTTGATTGCCACGGCCAGGTCCAAACAGGTTGATCTCATAAAGGGTTCCGAGTTCCTTCTGTTGGAAGTGGAAGGGACTTCATTCCTCAGAGCTGATGGAAGATGGAGGGGCTATCAGACTGAGTGTAATTGGTGCCAGAAGAAAACGGACTTGAGGGGTAAAGGTCAAAGGACAGAGCTCAGCGAACACCCTGCTTGATTCAGGAAGCGGATTCTCCCAGAGAACCTCAGGTAAGTGTGTCCTGGCACCCCAGGGGCGAACTCGACCTTACCCTGCCTGGCCGGATGCTACAGAGCCAAACCCTGATTCTGTCTTTTCTAAGGTCCTAAGTTTGTGACAAATTGTCTAACCACCCAAAAAGGAATATCCTTTTTTTTTTTTCTGGTTTGAAAATTTCCAATCACATTTACATGAAGAAAGCTGGGAGGAAAGCAAGATGCCATGAAGAGAAAGTAAGTCTGTATTTTACATTCCAATTAGTGTCTGTTAATTTGTTGCCAGAAACAGGCAGGCAGGAGAAAATGGCAGTGTTGGGGAGCCCATTGGGTGGGAATGGAGCAGTTTGCACGGTAAAGTTCAGTTTTCTGTGCTTTTCTTTGCTGAGGAGCCTTAACTGGGAGCGCACCTGTCATATCGGAGGCTTCATTTCCTGATATAATTGTTAGTTACTCAGTATATTTTACCCCTCAGCTCTCAAAATCACTTGGCTTCAGATTTGTTCATTGTTCTCACAGCTGCTTTCTGTTAAATTGTTCCTCCTCCTCCATGCTATAAATGCGAGGAATGAAAGGTGATGTGTCTCGAGCCTATGGTTAATACGCAAGCACTCAAGCTGATGTATATCCAGTGCACACAGCACTGAATCAGGCTTCTGGAAAATGCATCTAGTGCTTTCAAATAAGGAGTGCCAACCCAGCAAACTAAACACGTAGGATGCTTTATAAATTGTTGGCAATGTGCAGAAGTTCTCCAGAAATTAAGTTTTAGAAAGAATGCGTACAGCTGAATGAAAGGCTCAGTTAGGTGTAGTTAGTTGCTACCTAAATGTTGGCTCCCTTATTGATTATATTGTGTGTGCCAACAAGTGCTTTAATTTTTTGGAGAGTTTGAGGAAACTTAAGTACTGTGTCTGATGATATCAGAGTTGACATAATCACCACTATCATAGGACAGCATAGGACCTGACAATATCAGCGACTTGTCAGTGCAGGTAGAAATGTGGTTTAGTTATAATATTGTGTGTGTTTCACAAGCAACCCATCTTTCAAATTAAAGGGGTAGGGGTTTGGGTGAGAGGGTTGACTAGGAAAGGAGTATAAGAGGATGTTTTCTCTTTCTTACTGCATAAACCACGAGTTAGGGGATTTACTATCTGATGGAAGCATTGAAGTGGCAGGTTGGCTTCCGTCTTAGCTCTGACACTTATGTCAGCTTTCTCATCTCAAAGATGAAAAGATCGGGCTGATCAGCAATGGTGCATGGCCTTCATTGGCCACCGAAATTCTCTGCTTCAAGTGTCTCAATTGAATTAAATTCAATAAGGATTCATTGAGTGCCCATCCTATTAGGAAATGTGCCAGAAAGCTAAATCCTTTATATGTATTAACTCCAGGCTTAGAACAGTGCAATGGTGGAAACAAAAAGCTGAGTGAATCTGGAGCTTAGACAAGGACTTCCATTTGTTGGAAATAGGCTGAGATTTTGAAGAATGTTCTTGATTGAGGCTCTGTGTTTTACATTGTTAATGATGGTTTTCCATGCAAATTGTTCCAACACTACACCCATCAGGAGTGTACCCATCTCCCTCCCCCAACGACCCCACACTTCTCCCTTTCAAGCTACCAACTCAATTGTGTGGGTTAGTTCTCCCATTGTGTTGTCTGCCTTTCTGTGTTTTTTTAGTCCCACATAATGAGAGATTATTCTGTATTTATCTCTTTCCTTCTGACTGATTTCATTCAGCATATCCTCTAGTTCCATCCATGTTATGTTGAATTGCAGGATTTGGGATTTTAGAGATGCATAGTATTCCCTTATACACACACACAAACACACACACACACAAATATACATATATATGTATATTCCCATATATACCCATATTCTACAATTTTTTAATCCATCGTAGTTTGGCATGAGATATTTTTTTAGATCAAGATTAAAATTTATTCAATCACCTCTGTAGAATTAGAATCTGATCCTTACAAAAAGCAAGTTATAGAAATGTGGTTTTCTCTCCACCTTCATTTTAACAAATCTGGCTTGTTCTTTTGCATAAACACAGCAAGATTAGAGAATTCTCCATTTGGGATACCCCATTATTTACTGCGAAGTCCTGGGGTCGGCTAAAGTGTCGACACACCAATAATGGCATTAATCTTATCTGGCACGTCAGGGTTACCAGGCCTGGCCATAAGATGCCCCGCAACAAACTGGATGGCCTCAAGCTTTCAGGTTGAACTGGATGTAGCTTTGAGCCTCATTTTCCAGAGATGTCCTGGCAGAAAGGAAACTTTATATATAATAAATAATATTTAATATATATAATATATAAAGGATGGCCCATCCCTTCTTCAGGGCTGGGGGAAATCCTGGTTTCCAGGGTTTTTTTTTTTTTCCTTGACGCTGAGAGTAGGCCCAGGCTGAGGAGATACTTTTTTCTTTTTAAATTTTTTTTTAATTTTAAAAGGTAGTTCACAGTATTTGATTACATTTAAAATTCAAACACCAATCCCACCACCATTACACCTTCCCACCACCGAATTTGGGGTATTTCCATTCCAAGTCCCAATCCCTGTCCCAAAGCACAGCCTGAAATAATATATTTTGTATTGTCTGTTATGAAGAACTGCTGAACATGCTACAAAAAAGTATCCATAGAGGAAACAGTGTGAAGATTGTTCTATTTTTTCAGGGCCCCTTAGGACAGTCTTGAGGATATCACTAACATGTTGTTAAAGATTGAGTGATGTGAGCTTTCGTGTCTATATATCTGAAAATATGTATAAATGCGCACATATATATTTCCCTCTATGATTTGTTGCCTAC